TGTTCCTCATTCATGGTTATTAAAAAATATTAGAAATTTATAGAATAAATCCGAAAATAATCGATTTCTTACGCCGAATAATGTTACAATGGAAAACAACACTACAAATAAATTGTAACCAAAATACTGTCACCACGCGACAAATCTCAATCACAAAAGGCATCTACCAAGGTGACTCCTTGAGCCCACTGTGGTTCTGTCTCGCCCTAAACCCTCTGTCTCATTTGCTGCAGAGCTGCGGGGCCGGATATTGCCTCAAACTTAATACAGGCGAAACAACAATATCGCATCTTATATACATGGACGACATCAAATTATATGCAAAAACAGACAAGGATATGAAGAAATTAATAGATATAACAACAGAATTCAGTAGCGATATTAATATGCATTTTGGTTTAGATAAATGTAAAACACTTCACATTGTAAGAGGCAAAGTAAGGCCCGGCGACTATGTGGTAAATGAAACGGAGGCTATTACAGCAATGGAATCGACTGACTTATACAAATATTTAGGGTATGCCCAACTTAAAAGTCTTGACCACGTACGAATTAAAAATTCTCTCACTACGGAATACAAGAGAAGACTTAACGCCGTTTGTAAAACTCAACTTTCAAGTAAACATCTCATCAAAGCCCATAACACCTATGCCATCCCCATATTAACGTACTCATTCGGAGTTATAAAATGGTCCAAAACTGATGCAGAACAATTAGAGCGAACTACACGTACAACACTCACGAAACACAATAACCTACACCCTAAATCCGCCATAGAGAGACTAACAATAAAACGAGAACATGGAGGGAGAGGCCTAATGGATATCCAGCACCTATGGCGGAAACAAGTTAGTCGATTAAAATCATTCTTCTATACAAAATCCCATACTAGCAATATTCATAAAGCCATCGTAACGAATGATATTAACTACACTCCACTTAACTTAAGCAATCAGATTGAATCCCAAAACACTACTAGTGATAACCCACAGACACACAAAATTGACGAATGGAAGAAGAAAGTTCTCCACGGTCGGCACCCTCATGACTTAGAGCAATCCCACATAAATAAGTTAGCTTCAAATAAGTGGCTGAAAATAGGCAACTTATTTCCAGAAACAGAAGGATTTATAATAGCTATTCAAGACCAGATCATAAACACAAAAAATTACAGAAAATATATAATCAAAGATCCTGCAGTAAATAATGACAAATGTCGCAAATGCCACACACATCCAGAAACCATTCAACACATCACAGGCGCATGCACAACTCTCACACAGACTGACTACACTCACAGACACAATCAGGTGGCCAATGTCATTCATCAAAAACTAGCACTCAAACACGCACTCATTCCAGATGCCAACACTCCGTACTACAATTATACACCAAAACATACTCTAGAAAACACCACACATAAACTTTTTTACGACCGCGGCATTCTCACCGATAGGACAATCCACTATAACCGACCAGATATAATTCTACGAGATAAAATAAATAATATTACTTACCTGAAAGACATTGCAGTCCCCAACACACACAACTTGCAGAAGACGATAACTGAAAAAATCTGTAAGTACGCAGAACTTAAAGATGAAGTGACTAGAATCTGGCAACAAGAAAAAGTATATGTGGTCCCTATAGTCCTCTCCACAACAGGTGTCATCCCAAATCATCTCCTCCGTAGCTTAAAATTATTACAACTAAAAGAAACTCTATATATTACACTTCAAAAAACAGCTATATTAAATACATGCAGAATAGTTAGGAAATTCATGCAGATAGAAGAAAACGAAATAGGACCTCATCAAATCACATGAACTACACTACACACCACACGCTGCATTTGCTTTGGCTTCGGCCCGTAAATGTAGTTGAAATCCAGCCTAGATCTGAGAAGTGAAAACACTTACCGTAAACAATAATAATAATAAGACTATATAGATACCCCAAAATAATAATAAAATAATGAAATTATTCCTGTAGTCGTCTCTGCGAATGGGCTAATCCCAGTTAGCCTCTCTGGTCATCTGAGGCGACTGGGACTCCGTGACGGACCGCTCCGGGCTCAAATGCAGAAGGCGGTGCTCCTTGATACTGCCCGCATCGTCCGCCGGTTTCTTTCCCTTTCTTCCTAACCCTTGGCCGTTTGGTCTCCCCTGCCGAGGGCTTCCATCTGGTTGGGCTTTTATTTATTTGTGTATTTTTGTATTTATTTTATTTTATTGATATTTATGTATATTTATCCTTTCATTTTCGTTTATAATTATATATTTATACATCCCAACCAGATGAGAAAACTATATAGATACCCCATTATAATAATAATAATAATAATAATAGTTTCAAGAGGCTCTCAACCAGAAGTCGCTCCCTAGCCTCTTCACTACTGGGATCACTCATTTGGTTCCTAAAGACCAGGTTACCACAGACCCGAGCAAATACCGCCCCATTACGTGTCTACCCACCATATATAAGACACTGACATCCATTTTGAGCGCGAGAATCACTCGTCACCTGGAGCTAAATCAGGTGATGTCACGCGCTCAAAATGGATGTCGGGGCGGTGGTCGTGGAACTAACGAACCACTCCTCATTGACGCGATCATTGGCAAAGTGGTGAAACGCAACCGTCGGAACTTCTCCGCCGCCTGGATAGACTACAGAAAGGCATTCGACTTCGGTGCCCCATACATGGCTAAAGAGAGTCCTTCGGAGCTGTACAAGATAGACTGTACAGTGAGAGACTTCCTCGAGCAGTGTATGGGGCAGTGGAGTACGATCCTTTGTCATCTGGGTGAGCGGATGATGGCTGCGGAGAACCACATAAGGATAAGAAGGGGTATCTTCCAGGGCGATTGTCTGAATCCAATCTGGTTCTGCCTCTCCCTGAACCCTCTCAGTACCTTACTGGAGGGATCCGGGAGAGGATTTCAGCTACGGAAAGGAGGGATAAAAGTGACCCACCTTTTCTATATGGATGACCTTAAGTTATTCACCTCCAGTCGCTCCCATCTTGTGGAATTGCTAAAAATCACTTGTGAGTTTAGCAGTTCCATTGGAATGGAGCTGGGGACGGATAAGTGTGCGGTCCTCCATGTTGAGAGGGGAAGGGTTGCTAACTCTGAGGGCATAGATTTATCTATGCCCGTCAACTTAAGGACCCTTTCCGAGGCTGAAACATACCGATACCTGGGTATGTCACAGAACATCGGTATCGATGAGGCTGGTGTGAAACAGTCAGTTTGCGACGTGTTTTATGCACGCTTGACCTAAGTGCTTAATAGCCTTTTGTCCGGTGTGAATAAAACACACGCATATAACGGTTGGGTCATGCCTGTCCTTATGTATACCTTTGGCATACTCAGGTGGACTCAGACTGAACTTAACGCCCTGGATAGAAAAGTCCGCACTACCATGACGTCCCATAGGATGCATCATCCGAGATCGTCGGTAATGAGGCTGTACTTGCCGCGAAAGCATGGTGGGCGTGGCTTTCTAAGCGCGCTCACTATGCATAATCGTGAAGTGTGCAGCCTCCGTCATTACTTCCTGGCGAGATCGGATGATCCATTCTATAATGACGTCATTTCTAGTGATAAAGGGCTTACCCCTCTATCCTTGGCCAACGAGCAATGGCAGGACCCAGCAGTGCTTAGCATTTCCGACCGGGAGACCGTATGGAAGGAGAAGGAGCTCCACGGGAGGTACTACAGGGTTCTACATGAGCCCTTCGTAGATACAGTCGCCTCCCTCAACTGGCTACGTTTCGGTGACCTCTTCGGCGAAACCGAGGGTTTTGTCTGTGCAATACAGGATCAGGTTATTAAGACCAACAACTATCGGAGATACATCCTAAAGGATGGCACCGTCGACGTCTGTCGAGCTTATCGCCATTCCGGGGAGTCACTTAGACATGTCATCTCCGGTTGTTCGGCGCTTTCTAACTCTGAGTACTTGCACAGGCACAACCTAGTAGCCAGAATTCTACACCAGGCGCTCGCTCTGAAATACGGTCTCGTGGACCGGAAATTGCCGTATTACAAGTACTTACCGGAAGCCGTGCTCGAAAATGACCGCGCCAGGCTCTACTGGGGACCGGGCCATCATCACAGACAGGACTATTCTTGCAAATAAGCCTGATATTGTGCTGATGGACCGGGCACAATCAAGGATATTTTTGGTCGACATTACCATTCCGTATGACGAGAACCTCGTGAAAGCCGAAACAGATAAGCAAACAAAATATCTGGACCTGGCTCACGAGGTGACCGACATGTGGGGTGGTCTGCCGACCGAAATTATTCCTGTAGTCGTCTCTGCAAACGGGCTAATCCCAGTCAGCCTCTCGGGTCATCTGAGGCGACTGGGACTCCGTGACGGACCGCTCCGGGCTCAAATGCAGAAGGCAGTGGTCCTCGATACCGCCCGCATCGTCCGTCGGTTTCTTTCCCTTTCCCCCTAACCCTCGGCCGTTTGGTCTCCCCTGCCGAGGGCTTCCATCTGGTTGGATCTTTATTTATTTGTGTATTTTTTGTATTTATTTTATTTTATTGATATTTATGTATATATATCTTTTCATTTTAATTTATAATTATATATTTATAGAAACCAACCAGATGAGAAAACTATACAGATACCCCAAAAATAATAATAATAATAATAATAATAATTGGATGATGGAATACGGAAGAACGCGCAAAGGGCCGCTGCCTGGAGGTCGCCAGGGCGCGTCTGGAGCTGGCGCTGGACGCGGCAGCATGCGAACCGCCAGCCGAGCGGGAGGCGCTGCACGACCACCCAGCAGCCCCTCGCATCCATCATCCTCACCAGCTGGCTTGTTGTCGGCAGGGTCTTCGCGGGCCCAGCAATCGGCACCCGCCTCTGGTGGAGTACGCCGCATGCGTTGGACAACCCAGATGAACAGCAACGCAATGCGGGCGTATTTTGGGGCGAAAGGGGGAGAAACTGGATGTTTGGCGTATCGGGCTAGGATGCATCGTCTTTTTGCTGAGCTGGAGCCATATTTAACCGTCACAGAGCAAAACCTGGCAGACCGAGTTCGGTATATCTTGCGCTCAAATATATTTGATGTCGCCGAACTCGAACGGCTACGACGTGAGGCTGTTCCCTCGTCGGATGAGAATGCTACGGCTGAGGATGCGGCGCCACAAATGGTAGAGCAACCCGCAAACGTGGATGCCGCCGTGAATACCCCAGTTGTGGTTGATTCAAACGATGATGGAACAGTCGCCCAGGAACTGGAATTAGAGCATATGAGGAGTACATTGGAAGAGGCGATTATGGAAACGCGCAGTACGCCTCTCGAAAATCGACCGCGACTTCCCCGCATAGCCCTAAGCAAGCGGAATCGGGCTGTCGTGAGGGCTCTGAACCCAATGCTGGTGACCTATTTGGAAGCCAGCCGGGACCTTTGCGAGACGGACTCAATTCTTTTTGGCGCCGCGCTGGCAGTCTGCCGTATCATAGGCGCCAAGGTTTCCACGGCTGGACGCGCTACTGGCCATAGTAGCGCTATCCCAGCATGGAGAAGAAGAATTGAGGAACGTATCGCAAAGGCTAGAGTTCTCATCGGCAGACTGATATGCTTCAGATCAGGCAACAACAGGCCAAGAATTGTGCGCACCGTCAGGATGGCGTTTGCTGGGACAAATGTCAGTTTGTCCCAGCCGGATATAACGCAAAAACTGACGGAGCGCATAGATGATCTGAAGCAGAGAATCGCTGCTTGGGGAAAACGGATTCGGCGATATACCGAGAGGTCGACACGGTTCAACCAGAATCGTCTCTTCCAGAGTGATCAGAAGAAGCTCCATGAATCATTGGAGCGACCAATGGTAAGTGGAACGGGTCCAGCACCAAATCAGGCCGACACTGTAGCATTCTGGCGCGGCCTGTGGTCAGAGCCCGTAAACCACAGCGAGGGCCCTTGGACGGAAGTTGTGGCGAGTCAGTGTGCGGGTATTACGCCCATGGACCCCGTCATCATAACGCCGGATGACGTAGCTGAGGCGGTCCGTAGGGCCCCGAACTGGAAAAGTCCGGGGCTTGACGGGCTGCATCACTACTGGCTGAAGGGGTTCATGGTTTGTCACTCTGTGCTCGCCCGACAGTTTCAAGAAGCTCTCGAACCAGAAGTCGCTCCCAAGCCTCTTCACTACTGGGATCACTCATTTGGTTCCTAAAGACCAGGGTACCACAGACCCGAGCAAATACCGCCCCATCACGTGTCTACCGACCATATACAAGACACTAACATCCATTTTGAGCGCGAGAATCACTCGTCACCTGGACTCAAATCAGGTGATGTCGCGCGCTCAAAATGGATGTCGGGGCGGTGGTCGTGGAACCAAGGAACCACTCCTCATTGACGCGGTCATTGGCAAAGTGGTGAAACGCAACCGTCGGAACTTCTCCGCCGCCTGGATAGACTACAGAAAGGCATTCGACTCGGTGCCCCATACATGGCTAAAGAGAGTCCTCGAGCTGTACAAAATAGACTGTACAGTTAGAGACTTCCTCGAGCAGTGTATGGGGCAGTGGAGTACGATCCTTTGTCATCTGGGCGAGCGGATGATGGCTGCGGAGAACCACATAAGGATAAGAAGGGGTATCTTCCAGGGCGATTGTCTGAGTCCAATTTGGTTCTGCCTCTCTCTGAACCCTCTCAGTACCTTACTGGAGGGCTCCGGGAGGGGATTTCAGCTACGGAGAGGAGGGACAAAAGTGACCCACTTTTTCTATATGGATGGCCTCAAGTTATTCGCCTTCAGTCGCTCCCATCTTATGGAATTGCTAAACATCACTTGTGAATTTAGCAATTCCATTGGAATGGAGCTTGGGACGGACAAGTGTGCGGTCCTCCATATTGAAAGGGGAAGGGTTGCTAACTCTGAGGGCGTAGACTTATCTATGCCCGTCAACTTAAGGACCCTTTCCGAGGCTGAAACATACCGATACCTGGGTATGTCACAAAACATCGGTATCGATGAGACTGGTATGAAACAGTCAGTTTGCGACGTGTTTTATGCACGCTTGACCAAAGTGCTTAACAGCCTTTTGTCCGGTGTGAATAAGGCACACGCATATAACGGCTGGGTCATGCCTGTCCTCATGTATACCTTTGGCATACTCAGGTGGACTCAGACAGAACTTAACGCCCTGGATAGAAAAGTCTGCACTACCATGACGTCCCATAGGATGCATCATCCGAGATCGTCGGTAATGAGGTTGTACTTGTCGCGGAAGCATGGAGGTCGTGGCTTCTTGAGCGCGCTCACCATGCATATTCGCGAAGTGTGCAGCCTCCGTGATTACTTCCTGGCGAGATCGGATGATCCATTCTATATGGACGTCATTTCTTGTGATAAAGGACTTACCCCTCTATCCTTAGCCAACGAGTAATGGCAAGACCCGGCAGTGCAGAGCATTTCCGACCGAGAGACCTGTATGGAAGGAGCAGGAGCTCCACGGGGAGGTTCTACAAGGCTCTACATGAGCCTTTCGTAGACACAGTAGCCTCCCTCCACTGGCTACGCTTTGGTGATCTCTTCGGGGAAACCGAGGGTTTTGTCTGTGCAATACAGGATCAGGTTATTAAGACCAACAACTATCGGAGATACATCTTAAAGGATGGCACCGTCGACATCTGTCGAGCTTGTCGCCATCCCGGTGAGTCACTTAGGCATGTTATCTCCGGTTGTTCGGCGCTTTCTAACTCTGAGTACTTGCACAGGCACAACCTAGTAGCCAGAATTCTACACCAGGAGCTCGCTCTGAAATACGGTCTCGTGGACCGGAAATTGCCGTACTACAAGTACTTGCCGGAAGCCGTGCTCAAAAATGATCGCGCCAGGCTCTATTGGGACCGGGCCATCATCACAGACAGGACTATTCTTGCGAATAAGCCTGATATTGTGCTGATGGACCGGGCACAGTCAAGGATATTTTTTGGTCGACATTACCATTCCGTATGACGAGAACCTCGTGAAAGCCGAAACAGACAAGCAAACAAAATATCTGGACCTGGCTCACGAGGTGACCGACATGTGGGGTGGTCTGCCGACCGAAATTATTCCTGTAGTCGTCTCTGCAAACGGGCTAATCCCAGTCAGCCTCTCGGGTCATCTGAGGCGGCTGGGACTACGTGGCGGACCGCTCCAGGTTCAAATGCAGAAGGCGGTGCTCCTCGATACCGCCCGCATCGTCCGCCGGTTTCTTTCCCTTTCCCCCTAACCCTCGGCCGTTTGGTCTCCCCTGCCGAGGGCCTCCATCTGGTTGGGCTTTTATTTATTTATGTACTTTTATATTTATTTTATGTTATTGATATTTATGTATATTTATTTTTTTCATTTTCATTTATAATTATATATTTATAGGACCCAACCAGATGAGAAAACTATATAGATACCCCATAATAATAATAATAATGGTGTGGGGAAGTGACGACCCCATCGCCCGCTGACGTAACAGTTATATGACAAAACTGCGACGTTGGCGCAGTCAGTCAGCATCCTGCCAAGAGGTGTGAGCGCCGTGCCTAGGCAAAATTGTAGATGCAAAGGTCCGTTTGTGCATATGACCCAACCACGAAACGGTGCCGGGCTTGGGCGTCTCCCGTTATTTGGCGCCCATAAAATGGATGATGGAAAAAACACAAAAAGGAACGCGCATAGGACCGCTGCCTGGGGGTCGCCGGGGCGCGTCTGGAGCTAGCGCTGGACGCGGCAACATGCGGGCCGCCAGCCAAGTGCGAGGAGCTGCACGATCACCTAGCAGCCCCTCGCATCCATCATCCCCACCAGAAGGCTTGGTGTCGGCTGGGTCTTCTCGGACCCAGCAAGCGGCACCCGCTGCTGGTGGAGCACGTCGCATGCGTTGGACAAAATCCATGAACGAAAACACATTGCGGGCGTACTATAGGGCGAAAGGAGAAGAAACTGTGGGAATAGCGTATAGGTCTCGGATGCATTGCTTTTTTGCTGAGCTGGAGCCGTCTATCCCCGTCACGGAACAAAACCTGGCAGACCGAGTTCGGTACATCATGCACTCGAAAATATTTGATGATGCCGAACTCGAACGACTACGACGTGAGGCTATTCCGTCGTCGAATGAATCGGCTATGGCTGGAGATGCAGCTCCACATTCGACAGACCAGCATCCACACGTGGAAGCTGCCATGGATCTTCCAGTTGTGGTTGATTCGAACGACGATGAAATAGTCTCCCACGAACTAGAGCAAATGAGGAGTATATTGGAAGAGGCGATTTTGGAAACGCGCAGCACCCCTCTCGAAAATCGACCGCGACTTCCCCGCATACCCTTAAGCAAGCGAAATCGGGCTGTCGTGAGGGCTCTTAACCCAATGCTGGTGACCTATTTTGAAGCCAGCCGGGACCTTTGCGAGACGGACTCTATTCTCTTTGGCGCCGCAGTGGCAGTTTGCCGTATTATTGGCGCCAAACTTCCCACGGCTGGACGCGCTACTACACAAACTAACGCCATCCCAGCCTGGAGGAAAAGAATCGAGGACCGTATCGCAAAGGCAAGGGCCCTTATCGGCAGACTGACAAGCTTCAGGTCGGGTGATAATAGACCAAGGATTATGCGCACCGTTAGGATGACGTTTGCTGGGACAAATATCAGTTTGTCCCAGCCGGATATCACGCAGAAACTAACGGAGCGCATAGACGGCCTGAAGCAAAAGATCGCTGCTTGGGGGAAGCAGATTCGACGATTTACCGAGGGGTCAAGGCGGTTCAACCAGAATCGTCTCTTCCAAAGTGATCAGAAGAGGCTCTATAAATTATTGGAGCGACCAAAGGTATGTGGAGCGGGCCAAGGACCGGATCAGGCTGACATTATCGCATTCTGGCGTGGCCTGTGGTTAGAGCCCGTAAACCACAGTGAGGGCCCTTGGATGGAAGTTGTGGCGAGCCAGGGTGCGAGTGTTACGCCTATAGACCCCATCACCATAACGCCAGAAGACGTGGCTGAGGTGGTCCGTAGGGCCCCGAACTGGAAAAGTCCGGGGCTCGACGGGCTGCATCATTACTGGCTGAAGGGGTTCGAAGTGTGTCACGCTGTGCTCGCCCGACCGTTTCAAGAGGCTCTCGACCAGAAGTCACTCCCGAGCCTCTTCACTACTAGGATCACTCACGTGGTTCCTAAAGATCAGGATACCACAGACCCGAGCAAATACCGCCCCATCACGTATCTACCCACCATATATAAGACACTGACATCCATTTTGAGCGCGAGAATCACTGGTCACCTGGAGCTAAACCAGGTGATGTCACGCGCTCAAAATGGATGTCGGGGCGGTGGTCGTGGAACTAAGGAACCACTCCTCATTGACGCGGTCATAGGCAAAGTGGTGAAACGCAACCGTCGGAACTTCTCTGCCGCCTGGATATACTACAGAAAGGCGTTCGACTTCGGTGCCCCATACATGGCTAAAGAGCAGTGTATGGGGCAGTGGAGTACAATCCTTTGTCATCTGGGCGAGCGGATGACGGCTGCGGAGAACCACATAAGGATAAGAAGGGGTATATTCCAGGGCGACTGTCTGAGTCCAATCTGGTTCTGCCTCTCTTTGAACCCTCTCAGTACTTTACTGGAGGGCTCCGGGAGGGGATTTCAGCTTCGGAAAGGAGGTACAAAAGTGACCCACCTTTTCTATATGGATGATCTCAAATTATTCGCCTCCAGTCGCTCCCATCTTATGGAATTGCTAAACATCACTTGTGAATTTAGCAATTCTATTAGAATGGAGCTGGGGACGGATAAGTGTGCGGTCCTCCATGTTGAAAGGGGAAGGGTCGCTAACTCTGAGGGCATAGACTTATCTATGCCCGTCAACTTAAGGGCCCTTTCCGAGGCTGAAACATACCGATACCTGGGTATGTCACAGAACATCGGTATCGATGAGGCTGGTATGAAACAGTCAGTTTGCGACGTGTTTTATGCACGCTTGACCAAAGTGCTTAACAGCCTTTTGTCCGGTGTGAATAAGACACATGCATATAACGGTTGGGTCATGCCTGTCCTCATGTATACCTTTGGCATACTCAGGTGGAGTCAGACTGAACTTAGCGCCCTGGATAGAAAAGTCCGCACTACAATGACGTCCCACAGGATGCATCATCCGAGATCGTCGGTAATGAGGCTGTACTTGCCGCGAAAGCATGGTGGGCGTGGCTTTCTGAGCGCGCTCACCATTCATAATCGCGAAGTGTGAGTCCGTCAATACTTCTTGGCGAGATCGGATGATCCATTCTATAATGACGTCATTTCTAGTGATAAAGGGCTTACCCCTCTATCCTTAGCCAACCAGCAATGGCAGGACGCAGCAGTGCTTAGCATTTCCGACCGCGAGACCGTATGGAAGGAGAAAGAGCTCCACGGGAGGTACTACAAGGCTCTACATGAGCCCTTCGTAGATACAGTCGCCTCCCTCAACTGGCTACCTTTCGGTGACCTCCTCGGGAAACCGAGGGTTTTGTCTGTGCAATACAGGATCAGGTTATTAAGACCAACAACTATCGGAGATACATCCTAAAGGATGACAATGTCGACGTCTGTCGAGCTTGTCGCCATCCCGGGGAGTCACTTAGGCATGTCATCTCCGGTTGTTCGGCGCTTTCTAACTCTGAGTACTTGCACAGGCACAACCTAGTAGCCAGAATTCTACACCAGGAGTTTGCTCTGAAATACGGTCTCGTGGACCGAAAATTGCCGTATTACAAGTACTTGCCGGAAGCCGTGCTCGAAAATGACCGCGCCAAGCTCTACTGGGACCGGGCCATCATCACAGACAGGACTATTCTTGCGAATAAGCCTGATATTGTGCTGATGGCCCGGGTACAGTCAAGGATTTTTGATCGACATTACCATTCCGTATGACGAGAACCTCGTGAAAGCCGAAACAGAGAAACGAACAAAATATCTGGACCTGGCTCACGAGGTGACCGACATGTGGGGTGGTCTGCCGACCGAAATTATTCCTGTAGTCGTCTCTGCGAATGGGCTAATCCCAGTCAGCCTCTCGGGTTATCTGAGGCGACTGGGACTCCGTGACGGACCGCTCCGGGCTCAAATGCAGAAGGCGGTGCTCCTCGATACCGCCCGCATCGTCCGCCGGTTTCTTTCCCTTTCCCCCTAACCCTCGGCCGTTTGGTCTCCCCTGCCGAGGGCTCCCATCTGGTTGGATCTTATTTATTTATGTAGTTTTTATGTTTATTTTATTTTATTGATATTTATGTATATTTATCTTTTCATTTTAATTTATAATTATATATTTATAGAATCCAACCAGGTGAGAAAATTATTTAGATACCCCAATAATAATAATAGAATAATAATAATAATATGAAAATGACCGCGCCAGGCTCACTGGGACCGGGCCATCATCACAGACAGGACTATTCTTGCGAATAAGCCTGATATTGTGCTGATGGACCGGGCACAGTCAAGGATATTTTTGGTCGACATTACCATTCCGTATGACGAGAACCTCGTGAAAGCCGAAACAGATAAGCGAACAAAATATCTGGACCTGGCTCACGAGGTGACCGACATGTGGGGTGGTCGGCCGACCGAAATTATTCCTGTAGTCGTCTCTGCGAATGGGCTAATCCCAGTCAGCCTCTCGGGTCATCTGACGCGACTGGGACTCCGTGACGGATCGCTCCGGGCTCGAATACAGAAGGCAGTGGTCCTTGATACCACCCGCATCGTCCGTCGATTTCTTTCCCTTTCCTCCTAACCCTCGGCCGTTTGGTCTCCTCTGCCGAGGGCTTCCATCTGGTTGGATCTTTATTTATTTGTGTATTTTTTTGTATTTATTTTATTTTATTGATATTTATGTATATTTATCTTTTCATTTTAATTTATAATTATATATTTATAGAAACCCACCAGATGATAATAATAATAATCTTTATTGCATCTTTAAGATAAAGTACACTCGATAACAACAGTATAACAAAATTAAGCCTACAGTTAAGTACTTCTACAATTTATATGAAGCTACTGACATCTAAACTAGGCAGAGCCTGTATCTTATCGTGTGTGTGCGTGCGTGCGTGCGTGCGTGCGTGCGTGCGAGCGTGCGTGCGTGTGTGCGTGCGTGCGTGGGTGCGTGCGTGCGTGCGTGCGTGCGTGCGTGCGTGCGTTCGTGCGTGCGTGCGTGCGTGAGTGCGTGCGTGCGTGCGTGCGTGCGTGCGTGTGTGTGTGTGTGTGTGTGTGTGTGTGTGTGTGTGTGTGTTGAGTGGTTATTAAATAATGATTTTGACATACATTATAATAATTTGTGTAAGTTTATTGTATATGTGTGGTGACTATTTTGTGACGAGATTTTCCGTATCTTCGTCTGTTAGTGATTTTAACCAAATTTATATTTTAGATTTTAATTCATGTTTGTTGATTTTGTATATATTTAACGACTTATTAATCTTATTGTATAAACGACAACTGATGGAATTATACTGACGTCCTGCGAAAGCTGTTCTACATAGAGGTACTGGACACACAGGGAAATTTATACGTCGCTTAAGGGTATTAGAGTCTAGAGGAAGTTGAGAATGTTTTCGAAGCATTGTGCGAAGAACAAACAATTGCCTCACTGTTAGAACATTACACTCTTTGTAGAGGTGAACAGTAGGGTGCATCCTATGTTTGTTTATCATGACCTTGAGCACTGCTCTTTGTGCCCTCTCGAGGTGTAGCATTTATTATGGGTACCACCCCAAACTGGTATGCAATACATTAAAATGGATTGGCATAGACACGTGTAAACCATTTTCAAGGTATCCACATTTGCAGAGTGGCGAAGATTCTTAAATATATAAATTAACCTTCTGATCCTATTGCAAAGCGCGTTAACATGTTCATACCAACTAAGTTTTTCGTCAATATAGATGCCTAGATATTTAGTTTGGGGCTTGGCAGAGAGTGAGATACAATTGCAATCTGCGTCTTGCAATAACACTGGTGGGCCTTGATAGAATTTGGATAGAAATTGGAGCAGTCTTAGATAGATCAAAGCGTATAAGTTGTGTCTTTGCGTAAAAAGCGTAACTTCAACTAGAGCTTTTTCTGCATAATGTTTGGCACGACGTCTTCACTCCAAACTACTAACGACGTGTCGTCAGCATGAATGAAGATCCGACAATTATCTAGCTTAATTCTACACAGATCATTGATGTAGATTAAAAAAGAACGTGGGGCCCCGAATGCTGCCAGTAAATAAAAATAAGAACAATCCCTTTTTCTGCTCCAGTGCAGACAAACAGACTTTAGACATCGTTGAAATAAATGTGGCAGTAAAATTTTTTGCGGATAAATTGCGAAACTGCGGTGTATCTATACACTTTTATAACAAAATCCGAGAAGACGCACAAAATCTGACTGCCGCCGAGTTTAAAAACTATATTAACAAGTTTTGTTTAAAAAGGGTTATTATAATGTTAAGGAATTTATGAATTATAATAGGGTTTAATTAGGGCGGGGAAAAAGTTTCTTCGTATTTTATTTATATAAAATTTAAGAAAAATCTCTTTGGTTATACCTGTTTGCATCTGGCTGACTTTAATATCTATGCATATAGGACATGAATAAAAAGTAGGAAAACACTTTCCCGCCATTTAAATTGTTTTTATGTCCGCCAAAATGAATGAATCTAACATTATTATGTACTACGTATTAGAGGTGACACTGCATTTAGTTACGCTGTACCATTCAATTGCGGTGCTACCGCCGCACTTTACTCAGTTACTCGCTAGGCGCTAGCACTTTCATTAAATTAAAAAAATTCTAGATAAAATATGTCTTGGTGTGTTTTCAGATATTGCACAAATAATTCAAGTAATGTTAGTAAATACCAAGAAATAACTTTTTACAGGCTAATAAGATAAATAAAAAAATCAATAAAAAAAGTATTATTGATTCATAATAAAACAAATTGTTCCTAAGACGCCATCTTTTGTTCATGGAATATAGATTATGAAATTAATTTGTTCAGATGCGACATTTCTGGGGGTACTTAAATATAGGACGAATATGTTATTATGCACAATTTTTTTTGTAGAAAGATATTTCCGTTATCATAATTTTTAATAATTAAAACTAAATTTTTTATATTTAAATTCATCTTTTATTTTATTTTTAGGTTTCCACATCAAAGTCAAAGTGGAATAAATTCGTCCATTTTT